TTATATTGAATCATAGGTCAACAAAGTAGGCACTAGTGTTGAAATGACAAAGAACCCTGAGTTTAATCAGTAGATGTTGATTGATAAGTTGCTAATGGGCTGACTTTACTCATCAATGACTCCGACATTGCAATGAGAGTCATGGGGGCTAGCAATTCCAGTGAACTATGGTCAGCTATAAAGGAAAGCTACGGTGTGCAAAACAGATCAAGAATCACCTTCTAGACAGGTGAACTTCAAAAATCTAGGAAATGAGGACTGAGTATTGATCAATACTTGAACAAAGTAAAACCACTTGCTGACAATCTTGAAATAACTGGAAAAGCTATTCCTCTTCCTGACTTGGTTACTCAAGTCTTGGCTGGGCTAGATGAAGATTACACACCAATTGTAGTCTAGATCAACAACAGGGATCACATCACCTGGGGAGAGCTACAATCAACTCTCATGACATTCGAAAGCAGACTTGAGCACCTTAACTCTGTAAGAAATGAATTTGTAGGCATCAATCTTGAGCAGACTTCAATGAATTTCTCTCAAAGATCAGGTTCCAACCAATCTCACTTCAAGTCATTTAGGCGAAATTCTGGAGGAAGGTTCACCAACTATAATGATTTCAGACGAGGAAGAAGAGACAGAAACAGAGGTGAAAACTCCTATGGAAATAACAGGCCTATTTGCCAAGTGTGTGGCAAAATGGGGCACAAAGCTAACATATGCAATTTCAAATATGACGAGAGATACTCATGCACTCCACCAAGTCAGAGGACCAACTACAACTCTTCTCCAACAGCGTTTATAGCCTCACCTAGCACTGTAAGTGATCCAGCTTGGTTCACTGACACTGAGGCAAGCAATCACATCATAGCAGAGAAAGAAAACATCACCTCTTCAAACGAGTATACTGGTAAAGAGAAGGTTATGGTTGGTAATGGGAGTAAGCTGTTGATTTCACATTTTGGTATTACTCATATTCCAACACTGAATGATAAAACACTTGTGCTAAATAAATTGCTCTTGGTGCCTGAAATAAAGAAGAACCTTATAAGTGTGTCGCAATTAACATCTGATAATCAAGTGTATATGGAGTTTCATTATAACTACTGTTTTGTGAAGGACAAGCAAACAAGAGAAGTCTTGCTGCAAGGGAAGTTTAAGGATGGGCTATATCAATTGGATTTTTCTCATCAAAACTCAAAGTATCAATCTCAAATGTCTGCTCTCTCAAATAAACTCTACTACGATCTCACATCTCTCAGTCCAAATCTCAGTCACAATCAAGTTTCTAGTATCAGTAAAGAGTCATGTCAAGAGTCTTTGAATTCCTCAATAGATGTATGGCAGCTGCGAGCATACCAAGGTCACGACCAGTAGTGCTCTCATGGTGGAAGAAGGTGTCCCTGTGTCGAAGCAGTGGCCCATTCAGATATGCAGCAATTTGGCGATTTTGGAGGTTTTATGGGTGAAGGGGGTTAGGGGTTTAAAGGGAAGAGATAACATTCTTGTTGGTGGGTGAAGACGGTTAGTGGTTAGATGACACAAACAATTTTTGTAATAATTTTAGGGAGAAAGCAGAACTAGAGAGTTTAAAGTGAAAAATGAAAATGGAGAACCAGACACTTCAGGGACGACGATGGCAGCGACGGGGACGGTGAATGGTGGTGGGAAAGAAAGGAGGAAGATGAAGTGAATTTTTTTTTTAATTATTTATTTGGGACTTATTTGTAATTTTCTAAAAGTTTGGGAATTGTTTTTATATTTTTTTCTTCTTTTCTTTTTATTTTATTTAATTGGAAGACTATATTTGTCATTTCATAAAATTTTATGAACAATGCTACATGTACAACACATGTGTTATAATATTGGGTTACAACCTCTCACAAGGGAGGTGGGCCCCGTGATTAAAATAATGAATAATGTTTTGTGTACAATCCATGGTT